TGGAAGAAGGAATTTTCTACTGCCTGAAATGTTTACATATATGTTTTACCATTCAGGCAAAGTACTACATTGGGCAATTTATATTGCAGTGTCCTGCAAATTGCAAAAATAAATAAAACAGGAAATCTCACCTTTTTCCAAAACTTTGCTACCACTCATAATTACAAAGGCCATAAATGTTTAGGAAGCAGAGATGAAATGGGAAACAACTGTCAAATGTGGGGAGGAACAGAAGCCCTGGACTATACATAGATACCCTCCCAAATTGGGTATTAGGTCAGTATCAGAGAGAAAAGTAGCCGGCCACTTCAGCTATGGCTTCAGATGAGGCAAAAGCTATGTGCCAAGTTACAGAGGGTGCTCTTCCTCCATTTCTTTAAGACTCATCAAAGAAAGCTCAGAAACCACTATTTGGGTTTCACAAGGTCCTTGGGCCACCCCTTCCATAAACACATACTTTATTCCCATCCATGGCAATTCCTCCAGTCTCTTGGGTGGACAGTTTGCCTAGAGCCAGGTCACTCCTTCCAGAAACCACTCACTGAAGAGGCAGAAAACTTTCTGTGCTCCAAGTTAAGGCAGGCTTCCAAACTGGACCCCCCAGAGGGTGGCCTGAAGCCTCAGGAACACAACTGCAGGAGGAAGCACCCACCAGCCAGGAAGACAGGGAGGGCCAAAAGAAGCATCTCCTAATGGGGATCTGGCCAAGCAAGGAAAACATTCAGCTTCACTCCTCCCAATATCCATGTCACTACCTTCCATTTTAAAAGAAAGACATCTTTGAAGAAAACAGCCAGCAAACAACCTAAAAATCATATCATCTCAGATTCACATTTCCCAATGGACTTCCTAGTTCTCTACAAATAAAATCTCCCGCTCACTCAGGTTCCTCACTCTAATGATTGGGAGGTGGAAGCGTTGGAGGGGGGAGCTGTGTCTAGAGAGACTGGAGACATCCGATCAGAATTCAAGGCAGCTTCTCTCAACTCTCTTGTTTATAGAAAATGAATGTCTGCCTGGCTTGCTTTAGTTCAGGAAAGGGGTCAGTCTTTATCAGCACGGTTCACACAGATTCTAGATTTTTTTTCCCTTATCTTAAATTGACCCGCTTTTAAGATAAAGACATAATAGAGAAAGTATTGACCTTACCTGGTCCCTAATGAGTTGGAAGTCAGAAAACCTCGCTCTCATTTCCTCTTATCTCGATCGCCTGGGAAGAGATTCGCGCTACCTTTTGTGCACTTTCGCCTTGAGATAGCCCCTCACCGACGCCCAGACGCCGCGGAGCGCGCGCGCTCTGCGGGTGTACGGCCTCTAAAGTCTGAGGATTCGTCCTGGGGTCTCAAAATCGAAGACTACTACGATGCCAGATCCAAGCCTTGTCGCTGGAGCTCCCTAGCACAACCTCGGAGGATATAAAATCCTTTGGAAAGCAAGCCGCTCCCCATGAAAGGCCAAGCCCTAAGCAGTGGGAAGTAGAGCTGCCTCTGGCTATGCCCTCCAACTGGAGCGCTGGGGGCCTCCCCGCCCCCAGGACTAGGTGCCCAGAGCGAGTCTCGCGAGGGGGCCCCGATGTGGCTTGCGGACTCCAAGCTACTTCCCATCCYGCCAGCTCCTATCCCGAGCCACTGCGGGCTCTCCTAGGCACCCGATGCCTTCACCCGCCTCCCATCCTTGAGGTGCCCCAGTTGTGGAAGCAGCAACACAGGATCCCTTCCTCCCCGCCTCTGGGCATCTCTGTTTGGTTCTTCACGCCTCCCAGAGCCCAGTCCAGTCCACGGACCGCCAGCTGAGAAGGCTGCTTTCCTTCCTCTCCTGCCCGCAGGCCCACAGCTCGGGGTTCCCAGACTGGGGCGGGGGTGGGTAGCCGCTTTGGGATGCTAAACATCAAACAAACCAAGCCTGGGGTTTCAGGCCCTGAAGCCACTAGAGCGGCTCTCCAGGGCTCTCGAGATAGTCCTCCTGTTTACATGGCCGAGTGGGGGGTGGGGTGGGGGATAGTAGGAAAGGGGGAGATGCTATCTGCAAAATCTCCCCCATTCCCGGAGCCTTTGGGGCCTAGGGTTGGGTGGGGTACTTTGGAAGGGGCAAAGTTTCTCGGATATATCTGAACAAACTGATCTGCCCCCTCACGTGAGGGAAGTTTTCAACTTTTCCAGCACCTCAACRCCAGATGCATTCCCAGAATACTGATTTCTCTTTCAGGGAGGCCAGAAACTACCAGGACCCGAGTTACTGGAAACCTAAAATAGGAGACTCCACGAGAGGAAGGAGGGAACCTTCCTTCCCCGAACCCAGCACACTCGTAAAGAGACGTTTAAGACTGCTTTCCAGGGCTACTTCCTGCAGCTGCAACAAATCCCTCAGCTAGGACCGGGAGCCAGTGGACCCGGGCTGATTGATGGCRAGAGGCGGCGGAGGCCCTGTTTGTATAGGTCCCATACGCAGACCCGGCTGAATTCACCTTTTCCYGGGACAAGTAAACAGACTTCAAACTAAGCCGGCGGGGAGAAGAATGTGTTTGATAGAAACTCCATCCTGTGATAAGGCCAAGAATATCACAGCACACTAAACCGGTGACTCCCAGGAACCGGCCCCAGGGTAGAAAACAGGCAGGGGGCAGCACAGTGGCGAGCGCCATGTCTCTGTCCAGGTTAGTCCCTTGCCCAGCCACCCTAAGCTGGGTGCCTTGTCACAGAAGGAAAACTGTCCCTTACACAACAAATGTTCAAACTTTTTGATTGTTTTCCCAAATGCAATGCCTCCTGAAATTTCCCCAAACCGGCTCACTCTTTAGACCCAACCAACCATCCTTTCAGAATCTTCATGTCCCACCTGGATATTGAAAACTTATCTCAGTAGCCACGCCTGGTTTCTGAGGGAGAAAGCCCACACTAACCCCTAGTTCTAAGGCACACAGAGAGGCCTCCTCTGGAAAACAGTGAAAAGGACTGCTAGATGCCAGGCAGGCACTTCTGGCTTTCTGCTTCATTTACAAAGTCTTGGGGATAAAGCTGGGGATGTGGTGTGGGTATTGGAAGGGAAACTTGGAGACTGAATGAAATGGAAAGAAGAGGAAGAAAAGAGGGAGGGAAAAAAGCATGAAGGGGAAAAGAAAGTTGAAAATCTAGGCAAGGCGTGAATGCATGCCAAATATGAATCAATCTTCAACAAGAAGTACTTCCAGACCTAGAGGAAAGTGCTAGGAGGGRCATCTTCCTGTAGTCTTTTGGACTGCCTTTTCTCTGTAGTTTCATCAGGGGTGACAGGAAAGGAATAACAGCCCATCCAAGGGACTATAATGTTTCTCTCTGATCACAAACATTTCTTCCACCACCAACACCCCTGGCTCACCACAGAAACCTCAATATTTCCCCCAACACATATAACTGAAAGCTGGGATCAGGAAATTAGAGATTGAAAAAAAGAGCAAAAATTATTTTGTTGGGGGGGGCAGGAGAAAGAGGCATCACTGCAAAGATTTAGAAAACAGAGATGGAAATCTCAGGAACAAAGAATGAAACCCCAGCTTTCAAAGTCCTGCCAGAGGGATCCTCATTCCAGCCATCTAGTTAAAGACACTGACCAAGGAGCAGCCAGGAGGGGAGGAAGTGGAGAGGTGGAATGGGGGCTGTTGCTGATTCCTGAGCAGGGATCACTGCTTCAAAGCCAAAATAAAACCCTGAATGGCTTCACTTTCGAAAACAGCCACCCACCAAATTCTAACTGTAAAGGAGCTTGGTTGAGGATTATAAACACTATGTTTGATGTTCACATCTACAGAAATAATTCCTTCACCAGAAATGATAGCTCATTCAGGATTATTTCAAACGGGTATCCTGGACCACTGTTTTAAAACATTGGCTCAACTGTATAAGACCACAGTACATAGTTTGGAGGTTTCTAAAAACAAAAGCCTTGCTTTGAAAACAAGTCCTATGGTTTCTTTTTCTTCTTCTCTTCTTCTCCCTCTAGGTGTAGCTTTSTGTCCTCTATTACTGAGTAGCAGGGCTGCTCAAGATTTGATTCCACTCAATTGCAAGGTAGAACACAATTCCCTCTTCCTGCGGGACAGGAACTCTGGGCCTGGCCTCATTATCTAGTTCAGAATCCTTAGAGCTCAAATCCAAACAATTCAGATCCCATCAGGCCAAAGATGAGCCCCCACTGCCACCAACACTAAAAAAGCTATTTAAAGTCAAATCAAAACCAAACAAGAAGAAAGTTTTTTAATCAGAAAAAGAACCTTTTTAATTTGTATAATTTATTAGAAGCTTCTTAGGAACTATATTTAAGCCAAATATCTACATAAGTTACAACAGAAAAAGACTGACGCTGCAAATACCAAACTGCCAAATAATATACACAGATTTGTCAATGCCCTTAAAAAAATGAGGGACTGGGGATGAGGAGTGGGTTTCTTTTTACAACAAAATGTACAGATTACTAAAAACTATGAATTTGTCCAACTTTTGACAGCATTTTACAGCTACAAGTTCACATCAAACATAAAACAATTTTCCAGAGGGACGGTCTGGGGCTGAACCTATAGGGCCAGAGGGCGTCTGGGAGGAGGCACTTCCTTTGTGTCAGTGACAAGTGGGTTATGTCCAAGAATCTTTCCTCTCCCCAGCACCCGTCCTCCCTTCTTAAAAAAAAAAAGAAAAAGAAAAGAAAAGAAAAAGAAAAAGAAAAAATCTGGTATTTACAAGAGAGCCCACTTTGCTGTCAGAGTGTACCCACAGTGAAGTTTGAGATCTTTAGAGTCCAGAGCCGTACCAGTGTACAGCCCTCTCCAAACTGTGCCCCGCCCCAGCGTGGGAAATCAATTTGAATCACGGAAAAGACACCCCAGAGCTGTTCTTTCTATGTCCTTCTATGTTTAAAGACTTCGTAAAGAATTGAATTTGCTTGGTTGATTTTTATTTTCTTTTTCTTTTTTAAAAAAATCCACAAATTTAGAAAGAAAGGAAGAGGGGGGGAAAGACGTCCAGCAGTTTGGCCTTTGTGTATTTTTCCTCGGTCTAAACGCGGACAGGTTCTTAAGAAAAGTAGAAGCGCGTGGAGCAGCGGGTGTATGGTGGTCTGTGTGGCGGGCAGAGGGGAAGCGGTGAGGCAGCGCGCCGGGCTAAGGCGGGCGGAGCGTCCTCTCACCAGGTCCGACCGTATAGCAAGGTGGAGCAGGACATGGTGCCATAGTCCGAGCCTGAGGAGTTCAGGTGGGACAGGCTGGAGACCTGGCCCTGCAGCGCTGCGGGACTGGCTGCGTGGTGCGCCAGGTCCGGAGACTGGCCTGCGCTGCCAGGCTGGTGGCCCGGGTGTGCCCCCAGGCCCGCGCCACCGCTGCCGACCGAGATAGCCGCTGCTGCCGCCTGGGCGGCCTGAGCCTGCTGCTGCGCCTGCTGTTGTGCGTGGCCTTGTAGACTGGCGGCGCCCGGCGCCTGGGCGCCAGCCTGGCAGGGTTTGCCGTCTTTCACCAGGACCGGCACTGCCACACGGCGCGGCGACTGCTGCTGAGCCTGCTGCTGTTGTGGGCAACCGGCGCCCCCGCCGCCGCCCCCGCCGCCGCCGCCGCCGCTGTCCTGCTGCAATTGCTGTTGTGCTGCTTTGTCCTTGGCTTGGCGCTTCATTTTGTAGCGGTGATTCTGGAACCAGATCTTGACCTGCGTGGGTGTCAGGTGGATCATGCTGGCCAGGTGCTCGCGCTCCGGCGCCGACAGGTATTTCTGTTGTTTGAAGCGTCGCTCCAGCTCGTACACCTGAGCCTGGGAGAAGAGCACCCGGCGCTTCCGCCGCGGCGCGCTGGGCAGCGGGGCCATATTCTTGCTCACGTCCCCCAGCGAGCCCAGGCCGCCCATGCCGCTCATGTTCATGCCGCTCGCCGGGCCCATGAAGCGAGAGACTGTAAGCGACAAACGCACAGCGTCGGCTGGGACCGGGCGGGTTCAGGCCAACCCTACCTTCAGCGCCCTTGGCCCACCCGGTCCAACCCCGACGGCGCCCTCCTCACCCAGGCCTACTGCTGGGCTCCAGAGGTCTAGCCGCGCCGTCGAAGGAGCTCGCGGCTTCAACCCTGGCTACCCCCCTCAGAACTCTTTTTTGACTCAAAAAGCATAGTGGGGGAAAGGCTGCTCCTGCTCCTTTTGTGCCCAAGCCCGATGTGAAGCACAGTGTTAGCCCGCCACAGGCGGAGGACAGAGCTCAGAGCCGGAGTTGGGGTCCAACAGTAGACCCCAACTTTGGGAAGTAACAAGAGCAGAGTGTTCACTTCAGAAAGTCAAGCCCCCAGACGTTTTGCCTCTGCTGTCGGTCCCAGTGAAGGCACCAGCTCAGCCCATTTAGAGCCCCCTGCGGAACCGCGTGTCCTCCTCCCTGCCCGGACTCTGCTAGAAAGCGGGCCAGGCCGGGCGCCTAWATGCGTCCCCAGCAGGGCGGCCTAGCTCCTGGCCAGGCCTTGCCTCTCCATGCTCTGCTCACCCTTGCTCCCTCAACTCAGGGGTGGCTTTGATCGGCTCTCAGAGGTCTTAGGCGCGCAGCAGAGCTGCCAGTTAGCCGCGCCTGGAGATGCTTAGTAGAAGCACCTGTTCACAGGACCAGCGCTACCAAGTGTCTCTTCTTGGATCCCCAGCCCAGCAGAAGGAAGAATCCCCAACTCCTGCACCCATCTCCCTGGCGCCGCTGCCAGGCTGCCCACCCTGATGCCTAGCTCTCAGCCGGACCCCTCCACGCCTCCTGTGCTCAGCCCGCGGCCCCGCAGTGGGGCGGCCTCACTTACTGGCGGGGAAGCGCGGGTCTGGGTTGGCGCCGTACCATCCGGGGCCGGAAGCGCTGTTTCGCATGGTGTCCTGGTAGGGCGGCAGCTCGCTCATGTTGCCCAGGTTGCCGTTGCAGTAGCCCCCCACAGCGGAGTGCGAGAGCTGGGGCACCCCCGCCGCCGTCATGTGGTAGGCGGCGGTGACGGCGCCGTGGTGCCCCACGGCGTGCTGCTGCATAGCCGCGGCCGGCGGTGCCGCCTGGCCCTGCCTGTACGCCGCTAGCGGAGCCCCGAGGCCGCCGCCCTCCATGCCCACTTTCTTGTAGCTTTCCTCCAGGGGACTCAAGATGTCAGACACTGAGAACGGAGTCGTGTGCTTTGGACTCATCGACATGATTCGGCGGCGGCTGGAGGAGGAAGGAAGAGGAGGAAAAAAAAGGGAGAGGGGGAAGGCGAAGCTTCGCTACTTTTTTTTTCTCCCTTTGCCAAATATTCTGGTGTTACCTTAACGCCGATCTTGTTGGATGTACACGTAACGGAGTGGACCGAGTCCGCCTTAATTGGCTTGAGTGGAGGCTCGGGGGCTGCCTCGCGTTTGTTTTAGCCCGGCGCCAGGTTTTAGGCAGCCACCAGAGGCGGGGCATAAGCGCTAAAGCAACAAGACAATAGAAGCCTACATCTTGCCCGAGATAATTAGCTTACATGCTGATGACAAGGTAAACACCTTTAAGTTTCACTTGTCAGGATTTTTAGGTCTCAAAGAGGGAGGGAGGGACAGAGAGAGAGAGAGAGAGAGAGAGAGAGAGAGAGAGAGAGAGAGAGAGAGAGAAAGTACAGTGTCATATTGTCAAAGAGGATATGTTTCATCATTCTGGGTGGGAACATCAGCTTTACTACTTCTAGCTATATGATCTTGTTAAGCCACTTCTCATCTCAGAACCTCAGTTATCCTCTCTGTAAAATGAATTAATAGTGCCCACTTCCTGGAGTTGTTGTGGGGGAAAATGTGATAATTTTGTAANCAAGGTAAACACCTTTAAGTTTCACTTGTCAGGATTTTTAGGTCTCAAAGAGGGAGGGAGGGACAGGGAGAGAGAGAGAGAGAGAGAGAGAGAGAGAGAGAGAGAGAGAGAGAGAGACCCAAAGCATTTCTTTCCCTCTCCCCTAGACACCCCCATCCCCATTTTTTTTGTGGGGTGCCGGCAGCGCACGGGGAGGAGGCGGGGGAGGGGAAGGAGGAGGGGACCGAGAGCTGGGAAGGCAGGAGGTGGGGTGGAGAGTAGCCGAGGAGGAGGGATGGGGAGGAAGGAAGGTGAATACTGCTTTGCAACCAACTTGATGAGTTACAAAGTGGAACCACTTTCCAATTCGGTCGGGGTTCCCCAGGAAGGGACAGGTCTTTAGGAGGAGGGGGCCGAGGGACGGGGTGGGGGTTTCACCTGAGCCTGCTGGGGCTGCTCCTCCCTCCCGCCGCGGCCTCCCAGCCCCGCGCCTTCCCACTGCCTCCGGACCACATCGGGCTTCGCTGCGCAGAGCCCCAGCCGCCACCAAATGAGCGAGCGAGTCTGGGGACGAACCCTGGGGCCGCACTGTTGGTCTACGTGTCTGTCAGTCTGTCTGCCTCTTCTGCCGCCGTCAGAGGGACACCTCTGCTCCCCGCCCCCTTTCCCCTTACCGGAGAGAATCCTAGCGGGCGGAGGGGGAGCTGAGTAAGGGAACGACTGCCGCCGGGAGGCTGTCGCGGATCCCCGCGCCTCCCCCCACCCCCAGCTCAGGGCTTCTTAGCGGGCCACCCCCCATCACACCCCCACACCCGCACGCTGTCTCCCCACCTCCACCCCCGGTTGAGGCAAGCACACCAGTAGCCTCCTGAGCTAGGAAGATGGGGAACGACTAACGTGAGAGTCCGTCACTGAAGTTGTCCCTGGTWGACAAACCTGGTGTCCCTGACCCTGGCCCATTGTCTGGACACTCAGGATTCTGGGGCTGGAACCGACTTTCAGGGGACATCATAGCCTCAGAACCAGAGAGGAGAGCCTTTCTGTTTTCCCMTTGGGGGGCTTCGAGAGGACACCGGCAACCAGCGGCGAGAGAGCCCTCTCGTCTGTTCTCGGGTGGAACTAAACCTGAACCCTGGCGGGACCCGCTGACCGGGAGGGGGCGAATACCCTGGCGCTGGCAGCCTAACGGGCGGGAGGCTGGGCTGAAGCTCTCCTCCGCCCCGGAGCTCAGCCATGCAAAAGTGCACTTGCTTCCCCGGGAATAACCAAATATCTTTGTTTAAAGTGGCTGCGTAAATGGCCAGTCGCTTTGTGGCCACGCTGGATATTAGTAGATGAGGATCATTCTACTTCAATTGGGCACCTCTCATCCTGCGAGCAAGAAACTGCTTAGGAGGAAGTGGGTTTCCTGTCTGAGCGTTCCCAGGCTTCAAGTGTGAGCCCCGCGCCTTGAGGGTCCTTGGGCGCCTGGCGAGGGGGAGCTGTGGGCTGTGCTCCCCAGCGGGGCCGGGGGCGTCAGATGCGCGGCTCTGGCTGTCCGGGATCTGCAGCCGAATTGACTACCCGCGGCATGGCGCAGATTTTGAGACCAACTTAGACTTTCCCTCTTGGATTTTAAACACTTTCGTTGTTTGTTTTTGTTTTGCTTTTTCTTTGGTGGTTTTAGCTTTCTCACTGCGCCGGGGACTGAGAGGGCGGAGCGCTTTCCAGACCGACTGATGCCTCCAAGATACTTCGGAGGCCAGTCAATGAAGCTCCTCGAATTTGGTTTTTGTTTCCTTGTTGTATTTTTCCCTCCTTGTAGTGAGGGAACTCCCAATAATGAACAAGCAGGTTTTATCTACTTAATTCAGCAGGTTAAACTCCTTTTTCATTAATAACAATTATAGTAGTGAAAGTTATTCTGTTTGCTTTTTAAGATCTCTATCCTCTCCTTGAAGAGTGTTCTGTACTCCTTCAATACAAAGCCAACTTCTATACTAACATTCGCTTTCCTCACCACCTACCTCATCCCCCACCTCACCCCCAGACCTCCCACCTGGACCCTCGTTTTCACAGGACCCCCACAGTGGCTTTGGGGCAGGCAACCCTGCGGGTTCGTGCAGAGATGCGCTTGCAACACGTGTGGCTAAAGACAGGTGCAAAGCTGGGCCCTGCACCGATCTTTCCCAGGGGCTTCTCTGGGGGGCGCTCTCAGGAAGAACTCAGACCGCATCAATTGTGCTTYGGTCAATGTAATGTCTAAGGTGTAGGAAGGGAGGCGTCGTGGGGTTCAAGTGCAAAAGTTCCGGTAAAGCGGAAAGCGGATTTTGACTGTAGGCGCAACACAGATGGGCCCAAATCCAGAATGGGGTCTTATTTGGAAGGTGGAGTGGGTTTCCCAGTTACTCATCTTCTATCTCTTTCTCTCTCTCTCTCTCTCTCTCTCCATTATTTCATACGTGGTAAATGTAGGAAACACCAAGCGTCCAATGTCGTGCACCTCTCCTTCAATGCCATTTAGAAATGGTGATAATTCTTCGACATTTTTTTTAATGAGATTCAAATAAGATCCAACATATCAAAGTGCTTTCAAAGCCTTGACATTTTTAAAGCTCATTGCCAGAACCCCAGATTTCTGTAGTTATTAATATACCCTCGTTAGGATGCCGGACCTGAGTGAAGAGTTTGATAACTCTTCCACAGCCCCGGGGTTGTGCCTCCTCAACTTTCCTCCCTGGGCAGCTTAGCTCCAGCCCCGCAGCAGGCCCTGGACCCACGTGGCTGGCAGCTTCTMGGGCTAAGCCTCCAGTAGAATCAGGGTCTCAGATCTTGAAGATACCCTACTCCTGAGCCACCTGGACTCGAAGCAGGCGGTGGGTGCGATTGGGGTGCAAAGCAAGAATTAGAGCTCAAGGGGTGGAGCGGACAACGGCTTCACTCTCTCCCTGAAATTAGGACTACTGACGTGGCAACAGCCAGCTCCAGTCGAGTCTAGACCTCACCTGAGACTTTCCTGCTGGCGCCCGGCATCCCGGGCCCCAGGCTTCTCTCCCACGTGTGCAGGTTCATACACACCCACCGCATTCTCCCCCCCCCCACGCTGCACTGCTAAGGATAAGCCCAAAGACCCCGGGGCCTTGTGGGGAAAAGACAAATATGTGTATCTCTGGGCTTGTCCAAGCAAAGACCTGTGAGTCCTTTCTCTGGCCCCAACACCTTTTTCTGACCAAAGAGCATCCTTTCTTCCCATCTCCTCCCTGACTCATTCTGAATAGGGCAAATTCGAGTTAAATCGGTGTTTTCTCCACGGCGGCCGGTTATAGCCAGTTATAGCCGAGAATCCAGTCTACTTCTCCCATCCCKGCCCTCGCTTCTTCCTTGGCCCCGCAACTAACTTGCTCCCGAGTGGAGTAGATGCGGTGGGGAGCCGGCAGAGCAGAGCCCAACGCTGGCCTTTCCTCGAGTTTCCCAGACGCTTTCTCCAACGACCGTTGGGCTGCACCGCCCTATCCTGCACTGCAATCCTCTGGGGTGGAAATGGGAGGATAGGGCGCTGCCTATGAAGATCAGACTCCCTCAGAAGAAGAGAGTAATGCCCTCAGGCCTTACGGGTGGGGTGTGAGAGCTAGCTATTCTCTAGGGTCAAGCCTTACAGTTTTGGTCTTGGGCACACTGACTCCCTGGCAGCAGGTCGGCCAGGAATCTGCGGAGGAGCTGCGGAGGCACAGGTCCAGGCCCAGACCTAGAGGCGCCGAATGGCCATCAGCCTTTACACACACAGTGAGGCCAAAGGGAAATTCCCTTCTTTCCCTCCAGTGTCACTTTGAGACAAGAACAGAGAGATCTTACAGAAGGCTAGTTCCRTAACTCCAATGGGTGGGATGTTGAGGAGGAAACACCAGTCTTACCTCCCTGCTACCCTTCCCTGACTTGCTTTTTCCAACTCTTTTATAATCCTTCATATCTCCCTAGGACAATAAGTGTGTTTCCTGTTGGTATTGTTTTGCTCAAGTTTTATCAAAATTCATGATTCATTCAACAAATATTTACCAGGCACTGTACTGGGTTAGAAAATTCAGCCTTCAACAATCTTGATGAAATTACTCCCCATATAGAATTTACATGTTAACAATAAATCTTCCCAGTAATATGTAGTTTGTGACAAATGTTACTGAATATCCAATCCAGATAGGGTTGTAATGAAGTTTTGTGTGTGTGTGTGTGTGGGGGGGGAGGTTGCACTATTTCCCAATTTTCTAGTGCTCTCTCCAAGGTTGTGGGATGAACCCATGAGTAAAAGTTGGAAATCTTGGAGTCTGAGCCTTTGCTTTACTATTTTTCAGTTGTGCAGTATAACTCTTGTAGGTTCCCATCATATCCTGGAGCAACCTCCATCACAAGCAGATTAAACTATTGTGTTCTCTGACTCCCATCATCCAGGACAGACCCTTGTCCCAAGAAATGCTAAAGCCCCCAGTGCCTCAAGAAATATTATGGAAACAAAGCTGTTTCCTCACCTGCAAAAATGGTCGTAACCTGCCCTGTGTATCTTATTGGATTGTTGTGCTAGGGCCTCAGATAATTCAGGAAGAAATCCTGTGCSCGAGTTTGTCCAACAGAAGTTCTTCCTTCTGATTCTATATTTTGGATTTAAAGAAACAGTAAATCTCTGACCCTCTATTAGAGGGAAGCACTTGCAATCCTCTTTTGCTCCAGCAGGTCTCCTTTGGCTGTAGGCTCCATTCTGGGCTGAGGTGGGCTCAGGAATTCTGTCGAGGCAACCGCTCCCAGTCCAAGTCAGGCATGAAACCGGGAGCTGGGGTTGATACTTCCCATTCCGGAGATCCAAGGAGCGCCTTTAAAAGATATCTTCCTGACTTCTGCTCCCTGAAAGATCTCACGGGGTGCTTCCATCTGCCTACCTAGGCTCCAGAACTGAGAGCATCCGGAGCGTCTGCGGAGGCACGGCCCCCAGCAAGACAGCTTTCGCAGAGGTGCATGAAAGAGATTCCTCTCTCTCTCTCTCTCTCTCTCTCTCTCTCTCTCTCTCTCTCTCTCTCTCTCCCTCCCTCCCTCTCCCTTTCCCTCTCCCTCTCCCTCTCCTTGTCCTAACCATCCAGGACCTTTGAGAGACTTTCCTTTTAGGAACACTTATCTTAAGTCATGATCTCTAGGAAGACCGGGAATGGAATGAGGTGCTGCGGGCGGGGGGCGGGGCAGGGATAGTTGAGGGCTGCACTGAAATTCTCTGCAATGGAAATGAGGGTGCTAGGGTGCTGCCTATGAAGATCACACTCCCTCAGAGGAAGAARGTAACGCTCTCAGGCCTTTGGGATGCAAGAACCCGCTATTCTGTAGGGCCACGCCCACCTAAAGGTTAATATTCTTTAAAAAGGTCTGTTTCCATTCCAGGAGGTTCAAACCTAGTTCCAACTCCTCTCAAGTTCTATTCAGTCTTTACTCTCTCCACCAACTCTAGGACTCCCCCTGGTGGGAAGGGGCTGAGGGCAGAAGCGAATTTGGAGAATGRGC